CTGTCGCACTCTGCGATATCACCTACCTACCGCGATGGACCAACATCAACAGCAAAAACAACAGGCTTTTCGTCAATATCACCCGCAACCAAATAACGGACAGCTACTACAGCGTGTGCTTGCTAAACGAAGAAATCTTCGAACCCGTGGGGGGCTGAACTCAAAATGAACGACTCGAATGGCACGGTCGTGTTAAAGGTCACATGCAACGTAAAACACAACTTTGCATATTCTGATACCCTACGGTATGGACTTCCCGAAACAAATCGTCAAAAATGCAAATTCAACTTATAAAGTTGAAAAATAACGCGATGAAAAACCGCGCGAAATCGGAGTTCAAACGTTTCACTAATTTTCCCCCGACTTTTCTGGGGAAAACGGGTTTCAACAGCTGGGCTGCGCTCATAGCACGCGCGCAAGTAAATAGGTTCGCGCAGCTTGGAAGCGGGTTGTCGGGTGAATACTCGGTGAAGGCTTTGGTGTGAGCTATTTTTCTAATGTTTTGTTGATATCTCACAGGCGCGAGCTTTTTATATGTTATGACAGTAAATTAACTGTTTATATAATTTCATTTGTCTATTTCACCACACGTTCTTCTTACCGAGTCACTTTCTCAGTTCGATACTTAAAAGCAATGTCATTATTTAGCGTTGACAGAATTTCTAACTGTGATATTGATATGTCGTTGTCACAGACAAAACTCAATGTCTTGTTTTATTGACACCTGTGTGTCTGCCTGCCTGTCTGCTAATGACAATATTCAATACACAGCTGCTATCACTGACCACATGCAATTTGAACTTAACACCAATCATGGCTATACACCATAAACAAAACGCATTGATTTATGGCCCGAGTTCGGTCTCTGTCACATTATGTAATTACACAGACAGGCAGGTGTGATACTTGAACACATGACATGTTATGATGTCTGTTGATTGCAAAATGTTATACACCAAAAATGAGCATGTATTTACAAAACCCAACATCTCTATATATATATACACACAATTAGCCGTGAGGGCATCTGCAAATGAACCAGCCGTTACACTTGAGTGCACACCCACCCGCTCTGACTGGGTTCGGTATCCCGGCTGCTTCGTTTCTTGGGAAGTAAACCGAAGTACACAATTTTGCACTTTTGATTTGCGATTGTACGCTTATAATTTTGTTTATATATTTTTTCATAACCAGCAATGTATATTATATGTCATGAATAAGTGATAATTGTGTTTTAATTATGTTTGATTTTTTGGTTGCATGTGACCTTTAACTAACAACGAAAAAAACCAACTTGTGACTCAGTCGGCCGTTGGCTAAAACGCTCGGGTTTACGCCGAACGACATACCACCCTGGAAACCACCGTAACCAGCACGAAATTACCCGATCTCATTCCGTATCGCGAACTGTGCATTCATCTCGATCAGCCGAGCACGACGGACAACATTCAAGGTGAATGCCCTTCTACGCTGCTGAGGGCCGTACCAGTGAAAACGGAAAAGACAGCAGAACCGAATCGTAGAAGAAATTAACGTGAGGTACCATCTCGGAATTAAAAATATGTATTTTAGATATAAATAACCATCCTATTAATATAAGGTACCTCAGCATAACGCTGCACATACGATAATGACTAGAGCCCACAGCCCAGGAACGCGATTAAGAAAATGTGTCAACCTAGCGATTTCCGACCTCGGGGACACTCGTGGATTTGACGACCCAGGAATAGACGGTAAGCTGTACGCCTTGCAACTAAAAAATAACATTTACAAACACGTTGAAGTCCCCGCCGGTGGACCCGACAGTAAGTTAAGCGATATCGTCGATACCGCAGGAGCGAACAGCAACAATCGCTACATCCTAGTCCGCAGCAGTGAGGATAAATGGATGATATACCCAGCGTTCAGTGGCAAACTGTTCGACCTAGACGACGTCGAGACCACGATCGTCTCTCGAAACAAGCAGTACAGCCTCGTCTTCACCGATGACAACAAATTCGGGTTTGGTACAATCTCGAACCGACTGGTTTCTCAACATCACGGTCACAGAAAAAAACCAAAGACCACCACCTAAACAAAGTCGTGAACAACTGAATCCTGCTCGTGGCTTACGTCCCGACAGTGAGACGCAGTGTGATCATCAGCGCCCTCTTGAGTACGACATCCCACATGCTATCGAGTAAACCTTGGACGCAAAACGTTTGATTGCAAATAGTGTCTGAAATCGACAACGTGGTCGACATCCTGGAAAATATACCAGAGAATTCCAAGTCTACCTCGGCGAACCATCATCACGTGAAGTCGAAAACGTGAAAGGAATCAAACTCCGGTGGACCAAACAACAACAATTCCACGTTTGCTCTGTTTACGTGCGGGGGAGCATCGGTTCCCACACCAGTTTGCAGGGAGTCACCGTGGCCGTGGAAGACACGATATCACTCGCCAAAATTTTCCTACCCGACATCATACATTTCATGGGGTTGAAGTGCACACCTGAGAAATTATCAGAAAAACATTTGGAAACTATTTTATAACATTTTTATATAGACGATGAACAATCATCATCCCAACGTCACACTCGGTTATCTAGGAGACACAGAGAGATTCGATCGACCCTGCGAGGAAAACACCTTGTACGTCCTGAGCCTTAAAGACAACGCGTATGTGCGGGTGTCTCTGGCAGACTTTAAAGAACCCGAATGGTTGATCAACATGACCCTCACCGCACCTTACATCTCTTTAAACAAAAATAGGGGCGGTGGGGTAGCATAGTGGTTAAAGCGTTGGCTCGTCACGCCGAAGGCCCGGGTTCGATTCCCCACATGGGCACAATGTGTTAAGCCCATTTCTGGTGTCCCCCGCCGTGATATTGCTGGAATATTGCTAAAAGCGGCGTAAAACTAAACTCAGTCAGTCAGTCAGTTTAAACAAAAATAAGACTGTCTCCGAAATAAGGAACAACGGCGTCTTTCTTGCGTCTTTCATTCCGAATTCTGATGTTATAAGAGTTTCCAAATACCACATCACACTAGCAACATGTTAGTTCCAGACGTGGATTCAAATTTAAGGTTCGACTTACCCTATTACCATTCGAGTCTTATGACTATGAAACCAGATACCACACTCATCATAGAAGTCTTTCTTGGAGAAGCTATTGTATATAACCAATCTCATTGAAATCAGATTTTCATTCTTTCTACTGTTTTAATGTCTAGATTTACATTTGCAAAAGCTGAAAATGTATTGGAAATCTTGAGACCAAACAAACAAGGAGCTTGAATTGTTGAATATGTTTTGTATCCCAGACTGTTAATCTGTGCATTGGTTTCAAAAGCTGAGATGTAAACAGGAAATTTATGAATTTAAGAAATATTTCCTCTGCCCCAATTTCTATTATTTGATTGTGCAGACGTGTGTGAGAATCATGCACACAACAACTGGACACTTCCAACATCACTGTACAGGAAACATTCATTGTTCAGAGTTCGCAGTCATGTCCTGTACTCAAACAAACATGTGGTTTTAGTGATTATGGAAATGATGTGAAGATAGTTTTGCTTTCGTTTCATGATCAGGAAATGAATTTAAGATGAGGACATCGAGACAGTGTCCGAGGCTGTGATAAAATAGACCAAGAAACAGTAAATTACTTCATAAATTTTGTTTGTCTCTTTCAAAAAGATCAAATGTATATCCTTTGTATGGAGCCTTACTCAAATGTGTGTCCTTGTTGGACAGCTTTACCAAATATGTGTCAATATCATACATCCTTTTACTAAAGTGTGTCTTCATTGGACGACTTTGCCAAATGGGGTTCCTTATTGGACTGCCTTGGCCAGATATTGGTACTTATTAGTGAGCCTTTGGTCTGTCTTCTCAAATCAAATATTTTCCTTGTCCAAACAGTCAATTATTTGTATACATATCTCAAATACTGTTTATTCTCCCCTGACTATCCCTCCAGTTTCACTATTCACCATTCACAATGATATATGATATACATAGCCAGTTATTATATATACAGTACGGTGAACGTAGGGTTACCATACAAGTGTGTTTTAGGATGTATGTTCTGTATCAGGAACACAGATTGTATGTTAGTGTAACTTTTGCCTTGACAGACATCAGTTGTCTATGTTCAATCTGTATGTTATCATTTCCTGCCAGAATGGTAGATTCTACAGTGTGCGTTAAGTCAATTTCTGGAGAGGAAAACAGTGTACAAACACATGACTGATAATCCCAGCTATCGTGGGAGTTGTTCCTGATAAACTTTTTTTGTAAATTATAACAAAATACTTGAGTGTTTTGAAATGACAATTTGACAAGCACCCTGATGTCATTTCTCAGACAGTGTGTTACAGGTGTTCATATTGGTATAAAAATGTGATTATCTGAACAAATCAACAAGGATAACTTAGCAAGCTTGCTAAACAAGTCTGAGATAATATAAGGAGCTTTAAGTTAAGTTCTCGGAACGGTGCAGAGGAAGTTGACTATATGTAGGAAGTATGTCTGTGTCATTAGGAAATCACACGGCCTCTCCTGAGTCATGTTGAGTCAGGAGTAATCCCCTATACAAATGACACATGTACCTCACTGTCTCCTAGGGCCATGTTAGATTGAAGGAGACGTTAAATTTTACAGTCCCACAAATAATGATTTGAACATGTTGAAGTGGGGAGTTGAAATATACCTGTTGAACATTTATCCTTTTTTGTAAATCACAATATAGTGTATGACCAATTTTGATAGCAGCCTACGGGGGAGGTCCTCACTCTACTGTACTACAATATGCTCAGTCCCTCCCCCCTCCCAGTCCAGACACACACCTCCCCTTTCTTTCTTTCTTTCTATTTCATTCATTTGAATTATTCATTAATGTAATATCGGTGGGAACATTAAACTTGTTCATTTCTGTTGTCATTTATTTTCTTTATCAGTCACTTGAAATTGTTGTTTGTATGTAACCATGGTAACCACATTCTGTTTTGTTTCAGCCAATGGCCAGGCAGCAGGCCAGGTTGTCTCTGTCGGAGGGGTAAGTCTGTAGTTAAAATTTTATGGAAAGGGAATATTTATCTGTAGATGTCATAAGTTAAAACAATATTTTTGTAATTCTGCAACAATGCCGAGGACTTATTTTCACACCTTTCTTCCCTGTAGAGTGCTGACAAGGTGTGCACTGACTGCATCAACTTCTTCACTGATATATCCAATATCGTGTCATCAGCCAACACAACAGTAAGTCTTTCAGTAGGAGCTCAATACTTTTCAAGTTCAACAGTGACTTGTGTTTTGTTAAGCATTGCTATTTAAAGGTTTTTTAGAATACTTGTTATATTTTGGTATGCTAAGTAGGGTGGAATTTTATTAATTTTAGGAAACATGTACTTTTCTTACTTAGAAATATTGTCATAACTAGTATATTATCCCCCGCCGTGCATACATACGAATTGGAATATCTTAAGATCCGTTGACTAGATTCTTTTCATATTTGGGACCTAGGTTCATCACAGTATAAGAAAGGTCCCAGTCACAGAGCTACAAATAACTTTTTTGGTCCTTGTGTTCATCTCAATTGGGTATCCTAACTTTCCTTTGAGTAATTAAATAAATTGTACTCACCTCACTCAAACTCAATTGGGTATTTTGCCATTTTCCATTAAATTTTAAAATATAATAAAGTTTAAATGTTAGTGTTTGTTATTTATATTTAATCTGTAATATGAGAAACGATAAGAAAGACTGGTCATGGTGATACTTTGAAGATTTCAGCATATTAACCTGCATACAATATGTTATGCTTGTCAGCGAGATACCTCAAGAACCATTCACTGGACTTTCTTCATATTTGACACCAAGCTTCATCTAGGGAAATTTGATTTTGGTGACCTTCACTTAATTTTCAAGGTCACAAAGACACTTTGAAGATTTCAGCATGTTAAATTGCATGTTAAGATAGTCAGCAAGATATCGCAAATAAACATTCACTGGATTTTTTTCATATTTGACACCAAGCTTCATCTAATGAAGGTGTAGGGCGCAGTCAATTTTGGTGACCTTCACATAATTTTCAAGGTCACTGTGACATTTTGAAGATTTCAGCATGTTAACCTGAATTCACTGGATTTTCTTCATAGACTTTCAAGACTTCCTTTGAATGATTTTCAATAAGCAATTTATTTAGTACCACTTTTGCATATTTCATACACTATGACATTCATGTCAAGGTCAAAGTCAGTCTTGAAAATATTTGTGTGTTTCAACAACTAAAGAGCAAGATATCAAGAGAGGTTGACTGGTCATGTTTTTGTTGACATTTAACTTCATCTTAAACTTTCATTACTTTTTAAGTCTGATTTGATAATTTGCGACGGGGGATTATGTCACCTTAGTGACAATGCTTGTTTCTTTACAAATGATATTTACTGTTCGCAAATGGTCTTGTTGCAGTATTTTATATGGCTATTAGTCCCTTTCAAACTTGCTTGAATGTAACTTCTTTGAGTTGCATTTTAGAAGTTAGGACATACAATATGGAACAAACTTTATGGATAACAACTTGTTTTATTACATGAGGGTGATGTTTCGATACAGATTCTTGTACCGTTGTCAAGCAGGAATGGCAACGGTACAATAATCTGTTTTGAAACATTGCACTCACGTAATAAAAGAAGCTGTTATTTATAAAGTTTGTTCAATATTCCTTGAATGTAATTGTAAATTTTCACTCTCTTAACTTTAGTTTTGAGTAGAGCCATCTTATGCACCTCAGAGTCATTTCAAAACATTTCATATTGGTGAATAATAGGTGGATACTCTTCAGTATATAAAAATTTGACCCACTGAGTAATTACACTGATTTATCTACCAGGCTGAGATCGAACAACTCCTGGACCAGATTGTTTGTTCTAAGTTTGGTGGCCTGGAAGAAATGGTGAGTGTTACCTTGACCAACAAAACTTAATCAGTGTATACTGATGGGAAGGCATGGGGTCTGGGGAACTGTTAAAAAATGTGAGTAGTACTTTACCCTTTCAACACTGCTGGTACACCAGCCACAATGTCATGAGCACCCTGGCACAACAGGCTGGAGTATGGGCGTTTATTGCTTGCCCATGGAACATACTGCAGTGTAATATTTTAAGGCAATATTACACTAGTGTAATACCGCTAGACATATGGCATCATAGTGGTTACAGTTATGACGTCACAATGCTAATGCCTCTGTGGCAATGGTATTAGACCTTGCTTGACTTGCGGAAAATTTATATGAGAGTCATCACACTGTAGGCAGTTTCTATCAATTTATGTTGGAGAGTAATAAACAGAATACTAAACTCGCTTCCGTGAAATACCATTTTTATTAAACTCATGAAAGATTTAGTATCAAATTCACTTTCACTTGTTTTATAGGGGCGGTGGGGTAGCCTAATGGTTAAAGCGTTGGCTCGTCATGCCGAAGACCCGGGTTTGAATCCCCACATGGGTACAATGTGTGAAGCCTATTTCTGGTGTCCCCCGCCGTGATGTTGCTGGAATATTGCTAAAAGCGGCGTAAAACCAAACTCAGTCAGTCAGTTCACTTGTTTTATACTAAATCATTAACTGGTTTAATAAAATTGGTATTACACGGAAGGTCCTTTAGTATCCTCTGTGTCTATGACTAAGTCATTGTCTGAAGATATGAATTTCATTGCAATATATCATTTGTTGTGGATCAATATTAAATCATCTACTACTTCCCCAAAATAAAAGAAATTCTGTAATTTCTAATAGAGGCTGATGTTGTTGGCTTCTGTGTCAAATGTTTATCTGAGGAGCGGTATACAATGATTTGTATAGGTATACAAATCAGTCGTACATCATGTGGCGTTCCCTTCTTTGAGGATGCATGGTTAGAAAATACTTTCAGACCTGGTGTATTGTAAGTGAGTCTTTGGATGAGGGGATGACTGGTTGCTCTCACATCTCTCCCTCTCTCTCCCCCCAAACCCCACCACCACCCCCACCACTGTATGTGTACTGGCAGCACACAATGCAAACTAATCGTCTGGTCTGTTCCAAGGTTAAACTGAACAAAGACCATGGACATAATGAGACAGTGTCCTCCTTTAATAATTAAATACACTTTACAGTTTGATCCAAAAATTGTGTACAGAGTAAAGATTGTAAACAAAATTGTACAGATTAACAAGGTTCCTTAGTGTAGGAATGTTTTACTTTCTATTTTATTTTTTTTCAGTGCAAACAACTTATGAAGAACTATGTTCCTCAAATGCTGAAGTATCTTGCCCAGGAAGATGTAAGTACATTTCATGTCAGTCTTTATCAGTGTCACTTATATACTCATGGAAACAAATAAAGGAACACACGAAAGTGCAAGTGGTCCTACACTCTTCCAGTTTTCTGGTCATGTTTTATATTGCATTGTGGGTGAAAATGTACGTTCATGTTATCCCTTATTTGTTTCCATGAGTATATCAAGAGGTAGAACATAATATAATAACTGCTTTGAAGCATGAGCTGGATAGGTTGTTTGGAGATGACAAGACTTATAAGTATATAATGAAACCCAGTGTATGCTAACAGAGTAAATGTTATGTTTTCAAGTCTTGTGGTAAAGTGTTTGTGAGATTGTGTTATGTGTGGTTAAAGTAATGTTGAAACATTCACTTATGGCAAAGCGTTCAGTTTACCTTTAGCATCTTACCTAATTGCGACCGCCTCCGTGGTGTAGTGGTTAGAGCGACCGCCTCCGTGGTGTAGTGGTCAGAGCGACCGCCTCCGTGGTGTAGTGGTCAGAGCGACCGCCTCCGTGGTGTAGTGGTTAGAGCGTCCGCCTCCGTGGTGTAGTGGTTAGAGCGACCGCCTCCGTGGTGTAGTGGTTAGAGCGACCGCCTCCGTGGTGTAGTGGTTAGAGCGACCGCCTCCGTGGTGTAGTGGTTAGAGCGACCGCCTCCGTGGTGTAGTGGTTAGAGCATCCTCGCGGGTTCGATCCCCGACCGCGTCATACCAAAAGACGTTAAAATATGGTACTTGTTGTTCCCTGCCTGGTGCTCGGCATTAATGGGTACAACAAGGACTGGTCGGCTCGGAGTCAGTATACTGTGTCTGAGTGGGGTATTCATGCTTCACTGCGGCATGGTATCTCAGTGGGCTAGCACTATAAAACCAGGTTCAGTCTGGGCTAGTACAAGCAGCCACACATACACATACATGCGCATGCACGTTGTCATATGAGCGAAATATTCTCAAGTACGACTTTAAACCCAATTTCACCTCACCTCACCTCTTACCTAATTGTTCTAATGTATGAGTCATGATAAGAGTAGATGATATTTTATTCTACATTGTGTGTTCATGTATGGTAAAAGAGCTCAGTCCTGTTGAAACATTCACTTGTGGTAAAGGATTCTATTGTGTCGTGGTAAACAAAGTTTTCACGTGTAAAGTATTCATTGTCATATTGAGGTAATGGAAAAGGATGCTCTATTTCTGAAACACCTTGTTGATCATTATCTTCCCACAGAGGTTACTTGTCATATCTTTAGTTCGAACCTCTGTTCTAATACGGCCATATTTCCCGGTACTCGTAAAATCCCCTAGTGGCAAAAATCGCAATACGAATTGTCTCCCTTCATCCTATCCAATCAGAACACGTGTTACTTCAACTTAGATCCAACTTGACTAACAAAATCAAATGTGGGGCCACAAATATCCCTCCTCTGCCGGGGACTTGTGTTGATGTGACACACAAGACATTTAATGGCTAGCTTGTCCGTTGTCAACGAGGGCGATGGAGACACTATTGATCAGCCATCTCATGACTGAGTTCTGTCTAGAAGAAACGTTTTGGGCGTGGAAAGAGTTTATATTTTTCCCGAAGCATACGGAAATTACCGAGGCCTTGCGAATGATCACCCTTGAAACAACGTCGCTGATAGCACAACTAAATCTGATTGCAACCAATCACGAATCCTGAACACTCGCACCATGAAAGGGCCGGATTAGAACAGAGGTTCGTAGGAAGATATGACAAGTAACCTCTGTGGGTTACTCATGCTTGTTGATTAACCAAGGCACATTTTCGGGCGCTATGATATATTTATTCTGGATCAAGTATATTTGGTAGGGAAATGTTGATGTTAAATGTTCCTTTTATACTTTAGTCTTATGTTATGCTGGGGTTAATTGTTGCTTGGACGCTTCCATCATCAACAATGATGTGTACAATATGTTTGTTGGTTGTTACAGAACCCCAACCAGATCTGTGGACTCCTCGGCATGTGTACTCAAGAGATTCACGAGCGTTCGGTAAGAACTCGGTCTAAATCAATCATGTATTCCAGGCTTTCGTATCATCAATCCTGTCTGAAACCATCAACATCTGAAAAACGAGCAAATGAAAATTCAGGAATGTCTAATAGATTGCTGACATTTGATAGCAATCCTTAATTTAGGCTATGGAAAGTCTCTTCTATTTCAAATGTATATTGACGCAGGAATTTGTGTCCTGTAAATGCCTGCAGTAACTAAAATGAATATTGGCTGGTGAATATGGATTCACAGTTTATTTCTTCTGTCTGGACTTTCCCCACAGGTTTTAACAGATTTGAATACCCTGTATTACGTGGAACTAACTAAACCACTCAACCACAGGTGATCTTGTTTCCAGTTTCTAAACAAGTCAGCGAATACTTGCAGTATTGTCTTGCATATGGCATGGATCTCGTTCATTCACTCCAGTCTAAACTTAACTCAGTCTTGTCTTGTCTTGTCAGCATCCTGTAGCAAAGAAGGCCGTGTCTGATGTGGTGGAATGTGACCTGTGCAAGGAGGTGGTCACTAAGCTGAGAGCCTTGGACAGAGACCAGACAACACAGGTGAGTCACTTACTCGCTTTTGTTGTTGAGGATATTAAGTTGTATCATAAAATAGGTCCCACATGTCCCATGCGTGTAATGGCCATGCTCAGTGACTTGGCGGGATGGACGGATGATCAGTCAGTCAGTCAGAGATTGCTCTTATTTTTATTGATGATGATGATTATGGTGATGATGATGATGATGATGTATTGTTTCAGACTGAGCTGAAACAGTTTGTCGAAAATAATATCTGCCCCTACCTTGGCAGTGCACAAAAACAGGTATGTAATGTTTGACTTGGGAAAGCCAGTAATTGATTAGACACAATCAATGTTGTCTTGTCTAGCTTATGGGGAAAGCCCATTTGTCTGAGAACATTCAGCACGTCAGTGTGTTAATTCTCCAAGCCATCACTAGAAATACCAGATAATAGTCATCCAATGAAAATGTCTTTCCTTTCCATATCTTATGACTCAGGAAACACGTTTCAGTTGTGTGATGATTTATGACAGCCATTTGAAATGATTAACTGTATCAGGATTGTTTCAAGGAAACATGTCAAGCTTGATGAAGTTAGTCAGCGATAAGCTAACATCATAACACCCTGATCATCATGTCTGATGATTTCACCACCCTGTAATAATAAGCCGTCAGCTACAGGTGGACAGAAAACCTGCACCTGACAATTAACCTTGTTGACATGTCTGAGTTCACCCAGAACTTAGGGGAAATATCTTTCAAGAAGGTACCCACAGGGTAAAAATTACAGTATGGCTGATTTGGAATGTATGTTTGTCATTAAAGAAATCAGTAGTATGATGTGTGTGTTAGCAATGTATCCAATGGTATGCACCGCAGCATGTTGTAACAACCACATGGTTCTTCTGTGCATGTGTGTGCATATACTGCCTTCTTGGCAACATTGCATCTGTCATGCCAGATCACTGTTTCCACATTAGTGGAAGTTGCGGTGGCTGAGCGGGTTAGGCAGCTGACTTTGTGTGGTGGCGATTAGGTACCTGACTCTGAGTGTGTGGGTTGGAATCCTGGAGGGACTCAACCCAACAAAAGTACAAGAATCTGTACTTTACTAAGGAAGTGTAATCCCAAATATAACATGTTACATTTGACCTCTATCTAAATGTCATTGTGTAATCATAGACATAGAAATGATGTGTCTTTAACATGTATTGAGTGGTGTATTACCTTGGTCAAGGTGACACTAGATGATCAAAGATCCCTCTGACTTCAGCTGATAGAGCTTTAAGATGAATCAGTCCTACCTTATTTCAGCACAGTTGCAGCGATCTTCTTGTTTTGCTTGCAGTGTGTACAGGAGGTGGAGACATATGCTGCCATCTTGTTCCAGCTGCTGGCCAATGAGCTGGTAAGAATGTCACTGTGTATGCCATTTAGGGTAGGACTGTTTCATTTCTTCATTTACTGATTTGTTTTGAAGGGGTGGTTAAAAAATTGACAACAGAAACATCCCAGGATTGTTTTGACCTTCAAAGAGTTATGGTTTCATGTCTGCTGGTTAACCGAGAGTTCTAGTTTTGTATCCATATAAATGAGTGCTGCATACACCATTTACGTTGTCAGGCAGGTAATCAGAAAGGCCAATTCTTTTAACATTCAAACTGGGGGATTCTTGTACAGCTGAGGGACACGTCTCTGTAAAACCTATACCACTTGGCAACAAAATAGAGTGGTTTTGTTGAGTGATTTTATGTATATGTGTGAACACCTCCCTTGGTGCAGTCTTTGCTCTTTTTGTGTCAGGAATTTTGAAATAATCATTGAAGACATACCTAGAATAAATAGATTTATTGTATCCATGATGGAAGGCGTAAATACAAGCATAATATTCTGTTCTTGCAGGATCCCACTGTAGTGTGTGAGTATCTGAAGCTGTGTACACAAGCCAAAACTGTGCCGTTGACTCGTATTGGATTGGCTTCCTACCAAACAAAGGTCAAGGTCATGGGTGCTCCTAAAAAAGTCAAGGTCAGCGTTGAATGCACACTCTGTGAATTTGCGTTGACTGAAGTGGATCAAATTCTTGGGAACAACAGGAGTCAGGTACAGATTTATTTCCCAATTTTGCTTGTTCCTAACTACGTACCTCTCATGCATGACTTCACCTGCAGTGATCGGGGCACAAAAGTTTCTTATGCATTTTAACTTGATGCATAGCACTGTTGTTAGCAGGTTGTGGAAAATGAATGCATGACTCATTTGATTTGAGATGACAAGTGAGTAAACAAAGTCACTTCAGTTGTCCATGGACAATCTTACAAATTTGCAGATGTTAAGTCCATTTGAAAAAGATGTTTGTAACAAATTCTACGTACTGCTTTGAAAGTGCGTAACATCACAAGTTAGAGCAATCAAAACGATGGCAGGGTATTGTTTCATTCGGGGCGGTGGGGTAGCCTAGTGGTTAGAGCATTGGCTCGTCACGCTGAAGACCCGGGTTCCAATCCCCATATGGGTACAATGAGAGAAGCCCATTTCTGGTGTCCCCCGCCGTGATATTGCTTGAATATTGCTAAAAGCGGCGTAAAACCAAACGCTCATATGCGTGCATGCGTGTGTATGTGTATGTGCGGCTGCTTGTACTAGCCCAGACTTTGGCTGGTTTTATAGTGCTATCCCACCGAAATACCATGCCGCAGTGAAGCATGAATATCCCACTCAGACACATTATACTGACTCCGAGCCGACCAGTCCTTGTTGTACCCATTAATGCCGAGCGCCAGGCAGGTACCAACAAGTACCATATTTTAACGTCTTTTGGTATGTCGCGGTCGGGGATCGAACCCGCGACCTTCCGCTCTCCGGGCGGACGCTCTAACCACTACACCACGGAGGCGGTCTAAACATTGTGAGAAGTCGTGGCAGATAGTACTGGCTGCATGAAATGTATTGTTTTGTTTTGATTCTATTGGTTTACATTTACATCCATGTGATGGATGAATTTCTTATCTATAGAGGGAACTGGAAATACAAAAACGTGTTTGTCAACATTGAAACAAATATCACATGGAAGTTAGAAGTGTGAAGAAGTCCCAAGTTAAAAATTTCGATATTTCCACATCCCTTCTTGTGGTGGCATGTGAACAGATTGCAAATTCAGCAGTGTTTGTTAAAAAATGTCAACTTTGTGATTTGAAAACCTAAATAAAATGTTCAGTACCCAGTGAGAACGTGCAAGTGGTAATTGACTAGCTGAAACCGTTATTTGGGGCCTTGTTTGAATTGATTATTGCACATTGGTTACCTAGGCTGCAGTGGAGGCGGCGCTGGACAAGATTTGTAACTTGTTGCCATCCAGTGTCCGTGATGAATGTGTCAACTTTGTCAACACGTATGGGGATGTCATCATCAAACTGCTCGTCCAGAACTTGAAGCCAGATGAAATCTGCAAAGAAATTGGCTTGTGCGCACAGGGTAGGAAAACATCACATTCATTAGACAAGTCAGATTAAATTAATTAAATGTAGCTTTTGCTTCCTCGTGAAGTGAGGTGAAATGATTGTGTGTGGGCCGCAGTGGCACCAACACATGCCTAACACGTATTATGAAGACTTACTTTATTGATTCTTTGACAAAATCGTTTGTGTTGTGTGATTTCGCAGATTCAGGCAACATTAATTCAATTAACACATCACTGCAGAAAGTAGTTTAGGATGCTCATTCCTTCACCATGTTCACAGGGCATTTGAACTTTGATACTTAGTTTCCATGGAATGGGATGCAGAATCAGTTGATGGTAAATCTCTGACTGGAATTTACCAATACCATTCCACATCTATCTTCATGCATAGGACCTGCTGCCATATAGCTGGAATATTGCTAAGTGCAGCGTAAAACCAGGGAGACTCTATAAGGGGGAGTGGTCACTCCTCGGAAAGCTCCTAAGCTATGCCTCGGCTCGTCACGTGACCAGTGCAGCCAATATGGCGGCAGCGTAGTTTTTAAGATTGAGCCCGGTTTATTTTCAACAGCTGATTACATACGCTGAGTGTTGTGACAACTGAAAACCTACAGCTTTGTAGTAAAGTTTCAAGTGGGCATGTTGTAGCTCACTGGCTTCAATTCTCAGTACACAGCGAAGAAAGACTAACTTATATCGCTAAAAACTTCTTTCACATATTCGTTTAATTTTTAGAAGGGAAATATACCTTTTGTTAAAAGGTGTTTGCAAGTAATAGTGATATTTTTATAACTAAAACAAAAATTGTTAGGGTGTATTTGAGGTGTGTGAAAAATATGACATATCGCCGATCTGCCATTGAAATACTACAGGGCGTTGTTTGAGTGTTTCTAGTTAGTGTTCAAAAACATCTTTCACATACACCTTCAATTTTTATGAGGGGAATATACCATCAGGTGAAAGGTGTTTGCAAGTAATAGTGATAGTTTTATAATTTTAAAAAAATTGTTAGTGTGTATTTGAGGTGTGTAAGAAATATGACATATCGCCGATCTGCCATTGAAATACTACAGGGCATTGTTTAAGTGTTTCTAGTTAGTGTTCAAAAACATCTTTCACATACACCTTCAATTTTTATGAGGGGAATATACCATCAGGTGAAAGGTGTTTGCAAGTAATAGTAATAGTTTTATAATTTAAAAAAAAATGTTAGTGTGTATTTGAGGTGTGTGAAAAATATGACATATCGCCGATCTGCCATTGAAATACTACAGGGCGTTATTTGAGTGTTTCTAGTTATTGTTCTAAAACATCTTTCACATACACCTTTAATTTTTATGAGGGGAATATACCATCAGGTGAAAGTTTTTTGCAAGTAATAGTGATAGTTTTTTTTTTTTTTTTTGTTAGTGCGTATTTGAGGTGTGTGAAAAATATGACATATCGCCGATCTGTTCTGATACGCCATTGGTGCTTGTGATGCTTGAGTGTTATAGTTCTAAAACTTCTTTCTTTCTTGTTGATCTTAGTATTTGACAAAACTGGAAAGGTGTTTACAACGCTTTGTGATAGTTCTAAACTTTCTGTTCTTGAGGGGTCTGTGACAGTGTCAGTTAACATTCTGTCAATGCCCATGTCATTCCACACATGCAATAAGATATCTGAATTAGTTACTAATGTAAAAAATGTCTCAAAGTAGATTTTTATAAAAAGGACAGCTGATGTTAACATGTGTTCTACCGATAGTTTTGCGTTCTTTAACATGTTTGGGGAGGGATGGCCGTGGTGTATCATTTATTCTTTCATTCATTCACATATGTTCTTTTTCTTTTGTTCTTTTTCTTAATTTCTTTCATTCATTCACATAAAATTCTTGCTCTTAATTCATTCATTCATTGTAAAATTCCGACCTATACAATACACTGGCTGAAGTACTGTTAAACGCAGCCGAAGTTGCGCTGGGACCGAACCAAGTCACTGTGTGCGTTGGAGCATGACGAGGCACACGTTAATTAGTACAAATGGTAAAGAAAGCAAGCGAGTGACCTATCCCTGTTGTAGAGTATCCCTGGTAAAACTAAACTCACTCACTCACTTCTTGCATAGATCTAGAGAGGATAGGAAGGCGCAGAGGTGGGCTAGCCATATTTATGAGCATATTAAATCTGTGCATATTTGGAAAATGTTTGATGGAAATTAGACTTACACATTAGATATATTTTGACATAATGTGTGATTATTGAACATGTGTGATCTATCTTTGACAGGTGTAAGAGCCGTCAAGCCTAAAGTCAGTGCTGATGTTGGCTGTATCGTCTGTGAGTTTATCATGACCACAGTGGATTCTCTCATCTCTGCAAACAGTTCACAGGTAGGTAGTATATTTGTAGTCTCATTAAGATCACAGGCATTGTTTACAATGGTACAATACCTGTCTCCTGAGGAGATCAGATCAGGTGAACTTTCAAATCTGAGTCTCAAAGTTAAAGAGACAAGTATAGTATGATGGGGCATGAATCCCATAGACAATATAAAATGATTGGGCATGAGGTGAGGTGAAATTGGGTTTAACGTCGTGCTTGAGAATATTTCGCTCTTATGACGACGCGCATGTGTGTGTATGTGTATGTGTGGCTGCTTGTACTAGCCCAGACTTAAGCTGGTGTTATAGTGCTAGCCCACTGAAATACCATGTCGCAGTGAAGCATGAATACCCCTCAGACACATTATACTGATTCCGAGCCGACCAGTCCTTGTTGTACCCATTAATGCCGAGCGCCAGGCTGGGACCAACAAGTACCATACGGACGCTCTAACCATTACACCACGGAGGCGGCCGATTGGGCATGAATCCCATAGACTAATATAATATGATTGGGCATGAATCCCATAGACTAATTTAATATGATTGGGCATGAATCCCATAGACTAATATGGCATGATTGGGCATGAATCTCACAGACAGATATAGCCTGATTGGGCAATTACAAAGACCAATTAGTTGACTTAGTTTGATGCAGTACTGATATAAAGCTGTAGATACATCAATATGCTGTTGTTTCTGAGCTTCCTAACATCTACATCCCGAAGAGTGTACTATCAAGGATATATTTGTGTTCTTTGGTGGGGTTTGGTTTGCTCAGGGTTCACTTGAAGCCATTTTTTGAGGAGTTGCCCTGTGATAGTCAGAGAGAGATACCTGACAGGAATAATGATCCATGCTTTCACATGAATTTCTGGGTTTTTTTTAAGTTTTTAAAAGTGTGGGCTTGATTTTTGGGAGGTATACTTTCCCAACTTACCTGGTGCTGTTGTTAGTTTTATGCTGTCGCAGTTTAGAAACGTCGGCATAACCCAGCTCTTCCCGAGAGTTTATTGTACTGACTTCCCATTACAGGCGGAGGTTGAAGCAGCGCTGGAGAAGGTGTGCACTCTATTGCCAGCAACCATCAGTGCCGAGTGTAGCCAGTTTGTCGAGGAATATGGTCCAGCTGTCATCAACTTACTGGTCAATAAACTGGACCCCAAGAGTATCTGCACAACGCTACGTCTGTGTACAAGCAGCAAGGGTGTTAAAGGTCAGTCTAGTAGCCAAGCACAGTTTAACAGGCAATTCTCAACCGTCCGCCTGGAGAGCGGAACGTCACATACATACCCATGCTGTGAGTTCCATCCAACCGCCTGCGTGGTGTAGTGGTTAGAGCGTCCGCCCGGAGAGGGAAACGTCACATACATACCCATGCTGTGAGTTCCACCCAACCGCCTCCGTGGTGTAGTGGTTAGAGCGTCTGCCTGGAGAGCGGAACGTCACGGGTTCGATCCCCTACCGCGTCATACCAAAAGATGTTCAAATATGGTACTTGTTGGTCCCTGCCTGGTGCTCGGCATTAATTTGTACAACAAGGACTGGTCGGCTCAGAGTCAGTATAATGTGTCTGATTCATGCTTCACTGCGGCATGGTCTCTCAGTGGGCTAGCACTATAACACCAGCTTCAGTCTGGGATAGTACAAGCAGCCGCACATACACATACACACCCATGCACGTCGTCATATGAGCAAAATATTTTCAAGCACAATGTTAAACCCAATTTCACCTCACCTTGAGTTCCAGCAAGCTATATGTGTAAGGTCTCCAGCATGAAAAAGGCACATTCTGTGATATATTGGAAATAGTGTTCAAGGCTGCGTAAAACCAAACTGAATCTCTCCCATATTCATTGTTGTTATTCACGAAATGTTATTTACCAGTACCTGTGATATATATGTGCATCATTTCAGTCTCAAAGAGTCCATCATTCACACCAAAGACCAAGGTATCTGCAGGCCCTGAATGTGTAATATGCGAGTTTGTTATGCGTGAAGTCGACACTCTCCTTGGTGACAACAAGACACAGGTGAGTCCACACACTACAGTTTTGACAGTATCCAGTATGTACCTCAGGTAGTAAAGATGTCGAGGTTTGTTCACTGAACTCTAACACAGCGGTATCATCGTATCTCATGATATCAATCACAATACCTTTTTAACATGATTAATGTCAGCACTGTATGAATACAGTTTTATAAAATGTTGATACTAAATAAATATTCACTGAGACCAAAGCAATTATATTGGTTAAGGTTACCATGAAGAGGAAGATGACAGAAAATTCAGCTTAAAACATTTAAAGGGCCAGCCTAGTTCACATGTAGCATTAAAATGATTAACCTCATATCTCGCTAGAATTTTTGGTTTCTATACATGCTCTGTTATCTGCATGTATTTTTGTGATTACTGACCCCCTTTCTGATTAGATTATTTTGTCTCTTTCTGATTTCATTACTGCCCCCCTTTCTGATTAGATTATTTTGTCTCTTTCTGATTTCATTACTGCCCTCCTTTCTGATTAGATTATTTTGTCTCTTTCTGATTTCATTACTGCCCCCTTTCTGATTAGATTATTTTTGTCTCTTTCTGATTTCATTACTGTGCCCCCTCTCGTGAAATTATTTTGTCTCTTTCTGATTTCATTACTGTGCCCTTTCTGATTAGATTATTTTGTCTCTTTCTGATTTCATTACTGTGCCCCTTCTGATTAGATTATTTTGTCTCTTTCTGATTTCATTACTGCCCCCCTTTCTGATTAGATTATTTTGTCTCTTTCTGATTTCATTACTGTGCCCTTTCTGATTAGATTATTTTGTCTCTTTCTGATTTCATTACTGTGCCCTTTCTGATCAGATTATTTTGTCTCTTTCTGATTTCATTACTGTGCCCTTTCTGATTAGATTATTTTGTCTCTTTCTGATTTCATTACTGTCCCCCTTCTGATTAGATTATTTTGTCTCTTTCTGATTTCATTACTGTGCCCTTTCTGATCAGATTATTTTGTCTCTTTCTGATTTCATTACTGTGCCCTTTCTGATTAGATTATTTTGTCTCTTTCTGATTTCATTATTGTGCCCCCTCTCATGAGATTATTTTGTGCCCTTTCTGATTTTATTATTGTGCCCCTTCTGGTGTGATTATTGTTCCTTTCTGATGTAATTACTGTGCCCTGTCTGATGAGATTATTTTGTACCCTTTCTGAGTTCATTACTGTGCCCCTTCTGTAATGATTATCGCCCCCTTCTGATGAGATTATTTTGTACCCTTTCTGATTTCATTACTGTGCCCCTTCGGATGAGATTTTTGGTACCCTTTCTGATTTCATTACTGCCCCCCTTCTGTTATGATTATCGCCCCCTTCTGATGAGATTATTTTGTACCCTTTCTGATTTCATTACTGTGCCCCTTCGGATGAGATTATTTTGTACCCTTTCATTACTGTGCCCCTTCTGATGAGATTATTTTGTACCTTTTCTGATTTCATTATTGTCCCCCTTCTGATGAGATTGTTTGTACCCTTTCTGATTTCATTATTGTCCCCCCTTCTGATGAGATTATTTTGTACCCTTTCTGATTTCATTACTGTGCCCCTTCGGATGAGATTATTTTGTACCCTTTCTGATTTCATTACTGTGCCCCTTCTGTTATGATTACTGTCCCCCTTCTGATGAGATTATTGTGTCCTCTAGGCTGCTGTAGAGGCAGCTTTGGACAAAGTATGTAGCCTGCTGCCAAGTACCGTATCGCAGGAGTGCACCGACTTTGTCAATACATATAGCCCAGCCATCATACAGCTCCTTCTCCAAGAACTTGATGCCAGTGTGGTTTGCAGTGCCCTTGGCTTGTGCTCACAGAGAAGAAACAAAATAGGTGGGTTATGTTGCTCTATACAAAACCAACACCCAGTCATGTGTAAGTACATAGTGTATGTTGATGCTTCGTTTCTTCAGCGTAGCATTGAACATCACGAGACATTGAAGCTCATTTAATTGAACAGTTTAAGTCAAGAGTGAAAACTGATTTAGATATATTTACTGGGAATGTGTGCCTTTCATATTTATTTCTTCATTGAGATTCATAAAGACAGAATTTGTGTCAACGATTTGATTACAGTGATAACAGAGATGATATGATTTAGGCCTACTACAATAAAGATTGGGTTGTCAGTGAATGTTAGTTTTAATATCTCGGCGGGGGACACCAGAAATGGGCTTCAGACATTTTTCCCATGTGGGGAATCGAACCCAGATCTTCGGCAAGATGAGTGAGCTTTAACCACTAGGCTACCACACTGCCTGGGTTGTAAGAATCCATTACCTGGGAGATAGTGTGTCATTAGACACGACCTGTGGAATTTAGCTCAGGCATTCTTCCACCGGTTCTGGCTTCAGTGTAATGCACCTTTGTTAGTTCATACAAAATCAGTAGACAAAAATCATGTGAGGAAAGTGTTTAACATCACGTTCAGGAATATTGCACTTACATGGTGACCCCTATGGACGTGTGTGTCTGTACCTGTGCTGGTTTAATAGTGCTAGTCTACTGTGATACCATGTCACACCTATGCCAATTCCAAGACAAGCAATCCTAGTTATTTCCCCAGCCGTGAACCAGGCAGGATGCCAAGTGCCTCTTTTCATCTGTGGGCCTGGTTAGTCCGGAGATTGAACTCCCATCCTTCCTCTCTCTGGGCCAGAGATTGAACTCCCATCCTTCCTCTCTCTGGGCCAGAGATTGAACTCCCATCCTTCCTCTCTCTGGGCCAGAGATTGAACTCCCATCCATCCTCTCTCTGGGCGCAGGATCTAACTGCCATCCTTCCTCTCTCTGGGCCCGAGATTGAACTGCCAACCTTCCTCTCTCTGGGCCAGAGATTGAACTGCAAACCTTCCTCTCTCTGGGCCAGAGATTGAACTCCCATCCTTCCTCTCTCTGAGCCAGAGATTGAACTCCCATCCTTCCTCTGTCTGAGCCAGAGATTGAACTGCCAACCTTCCTCTCTCTGGGCCAGAGATTGAACTCCCATCCTTCCTCTCTCTGGGCCAGAGATTGAACTCCCATCCTTCCTCTCTCTGGGCCAGAGATTGAACTCCCATCCTTCCTCTCTCTGGGCCAGAGATTGAACTCCCATCCTTCCTCTCTCTGGGCCAGTGATTGAACTGCAAACCTTCCTCTCTCTGGGCAGACTCTATCCACAAGACAAAAAAAACCCAGAGGTGGTCATCATAAATTCAAATGGTGTGATGGATTGCTCTGTGTCTTGTATAAGACTGATTTCCAAAATGACTGCATTGTGTATTTGTTTCTTGTGCACAAATAATCAGGGCACTAAGACTCACATATATTATCATAGGCACATAGTGTCAAATGCTCTTGCTTTGAAGCCCATAGGTCAGTCCTCTTGTGGTATGATTTAATGATCTGGTTTGATGGTATGATCTGAGAATCAGGCTTGATGGTATGATTTAATGATCTGGCTTGATGGTATAATCTGTGAATCAGGCTTGATGGTATGATCTGAGATTCAGGCTTGATGGTGTAATCTGATGATCAGGCTTGATGGTTTGATCTGAGAATCAGGTTTGATGGTATGATCTGAGAATCAGGTTTGATGCTATAATTTAATGATCGGGCTTGATGGTATGATTTAATGATCGGGCTTGATGGTATGATTTAATGATCGGGCTTGATGGTATGATTTAATGATCGGGCTTGATGGTATGATTTATTGATCGGGCTTTATAGTATGATTTAATGATCGGGCTTGATGGTATGATTTAATGATCGGGCTTGATGGTATGATTTAATGATCGGGCTTGATGGTATGATCTGAGAATCAGGCTTGATGGTATGATCTAGCTTGATGGTATGATATGATGTTCACACTTGATGGTATGATCTGATAATCAGGCTTTATGGTATGATTTAATGACCAAACTGGATTATTCATATGTGTGTATATTGCTGGAGTATTGCTGAATATCAACAGTAATGGAATCTCTGTACTTCAGTGCCCCTGAAGGTGAATGATGAAATCTGTGACCTGTGTGTGACCGTGATGAACTACGCTGATGCACTGCTGAAGGAAAATGCTACCGTGCAGGATGCCGAGATGGTCTTGGACAAAGTTTGCAACTTTCTGTCTGCTCAGATGACAAACCAGGTGTGTGCTTGTAACATACAAACTGGGTGCATGCTTGTAATATACTCAGGTGACCAATGGGGTGTGTGCTTGTAATATACTTAGATGACCAACTGGATGTGTGCTTGTATTATACTTAGATGATCAACTGGATGTGTGCTTGTATTATACTTAGGTGACCAAATGGATGTGTGCTTGTAACATACTTAGATGACCAACTGGTTGTGTTCTTGTGATATACTCAGGTGACCAACTGGATGTGTGCTTGTAATATACTCAGGTAACCAACTGGATGTGTGCTTGTGATATACTTAGATGACCAACTGGTTGTGTTCTTGTGATATACTCAGGTGACCAACTGGATGTGTGCTTGTAATATACTCAGGTAACCAACTGGATGTGTGCTTGTGATATACTTAGATGACCAACTGGTTGTGTTCTTGTGATATACTTAGATGACCAACTGGTTGTGTTCTTGTGATATACTCAGGTGACCAACTGGATGTGTGCTTGTAATATACTCAGGTAACCAACTGGATGTGTGCTTGTGATATACTTAGATGACCAACTGGTTGTGTTCTTGTGATATACTCAGGTGACCAACTGGATGTGTGCTTGTAATATACTCAGGTGACCAACTGGTTGTGTTCTTGTGATATACTTAGATGACCAACTGGATGTGTGCTTGTAATAGTGGTGTTCCGATTAATTGAAATAATCGAAGATTGGTCGAAGTAACCAAACGACCAAGCAATCGATCACATTTTCTCATAATCGAACACAAACGATTTTGAAACTGCTGTTTTAGTCTTTGAAACACTTGACAATGGAACATATCTTCGAAGTTGTCAGGGCCTGAAAACTTGTTTAATTCTTAGAAAACTCACTTCACTAACTGAAAATTCTGTTGAATATGACTGAATATTTGTTGAAGACTCAAGGAAGTTTATGTTCATGATATATTAGTCATCACTTTTAAGTAGCAAGTCGCATCATGTTATACATATTTTCAATAACAACCTCTATAGGAAAATCTGAAAAATGACGCTAACCTTTATTTTCGATGTTTGTCCATTGGTAATGAAGCAATCATCAATTGTGAGATTTCAACCAATTCCCAACACTAGCTTGTACTATACTCAGGTGACCAACTGAATGTGTGCTTGTGATATACTTAGATGACCAAATGGATGTGTGCTTGGATTATACATGATAACTTGATTAACTCTTACTTCAGTGTTTATGTATTACAATGTCCATCCTTGTGCACTTTAGAACTTGAACCTCCTGGCATTCTAAAGAGACAGATCGGAATGCTTCATGTGAGTTATTTACATGTCCCATTTTCCTGTTTCTGTCTTATTTCAGTGTTTGGCCTTCGTTGACCAGTACGCACCACTTGTCCTTGACCTTCTTGCCAGCGACATTGACCCCAGGCAAATCTGCAAGGTGAGATTCTGTGATAAGTAGCTATGAAATGTTTTTTCATCTATTTATCATGTCAATTCAGATTGTTGTCCCCTGCCGCCATGCCGAACGGGGGACTATGTATTCAGCGGCGTCCGTCCGAATGTCTGTACGTCCCGATTCTTGTTAACGCGATATTTCATTGACAGTTGTACCCAATGTCTTCAAATTTGGTGACAGCCTACATTGGGGGATTTCACAGACACCAGTTTATTTAGGTCACCTTGACCTTATTTTCAAGGTCACCACGACACTTTGAACACTTTTCAAAATCTTCTAAACACGGCATCTCATGGACTGTTGTACCCAATGTCTTCAAATTTGGTTACAGCATACATTGGGGGATTACGCAGACACCAGTTGATTTTGGGTGACCTTGACCTTATCTTCAAGGTCACCACAACACTTTTCACACTTTTAACTCTTGTCAACGCGGTATCTCATGGACTGTTGTACCCAATGTCTTCAAATTTGGTGACAGTTTACATTGGGGTATTACACAGACACCAGTTTATTTGGGTGACCGTGACCTATCTTCAAGGTCACCACGATACTTTGACCGCTTTTTCAAGGCGATATCTCATAAAACATTGCACCCAATGTTTTCAATTATGTTGACAGCCTACATTGGGGGATTATGCAGACACCAGTCATTTCAGGCATCTTGTATGTGACCAAAAAATAAAAAGTAGTAAATATAGATATTCCATTCTTTAGCGGCGGGGGACATTGCCATATCAGTGGCAAACACTTGTTTGTTATGAATTTTGAAAAAAATCCATTTAGTCTAACTTCATTTTTCGAATAACTGCAACATTGCTGGTGTGGCGTTAAGCAATATGTACTCACTCACTCACTCATGGCAGAACAGATTGACTATAGTAATATGAGAGAATAGTGTAGTCCTAATGTTTTTGGAGTATTATACCTGATTGTTTTTAATTGATTCATTTCATATTACTCTAGTTAAACTATAGTAAATGTTTCATGGTGTGACAGATTAACTGGAATTTCAGTATAGGACATGCACTCAAATTCTCACAAAATACTTTTCCCTATCTCTAAGAAGTCAGTGAACAAAGGAAGTAACATATCCACCACATTGAAAATGCTGTTTATGTCCATTACTCAAAGAAAAATTTCAAAATTTCAAGCAAACGTCTTTGTAATTGGTAGTTTGGCTCAAAACGTTATATTTTTTTAGATATAACCTTTGTAGTTATAAACCGAAAGCTGAAAATTCTCATTACCGTTCCTCAGATTTTCTCTCTTGGTAAACATTATGTATTGCGAAAATGGTCTACAATAGCCTATAAGTTCAATTAGTACTTTCAGATTGATGGTTAGTTTCTGGCTTGTTTCTGTTTGTTAATGCTTTTGTCCTCTGTATTCAGAAAATATGTGAATAGCATATGCTGACAGCAGTTTAAAATGTTGACTTCATAATCATGTGAGCTTCAGCAGTATATTTGTCTTTTGAAATTGTCCTAAGCCTTATGTTCTGTCTAACAGACCATAGGCTTGTGTCCAACCAGCCAGAAGGGTGTCCAGAACAAGCTACACAAGTTGTTGGAGCAGGGCAAGTGCTCATATGGACCAAGCTTCTGGTGTGCCAGCAAAGATAATGCCATACAGTGCAAGGTGAGTACTTGGATTGTGGTGTGTGGTGAAGTGTACCAGGGGTACTTGGATTGTGGTGTGTGGTGAAGTGTACCAGGGGTACTTGGATTGTGGTGTGTGATGAAGTGTACCAGGGGTACTTGGATTGTGGTGTGTGATGAAGTGTAACAGTACTTGGATTGTGGTGTGTGATGAAGTGTAACAGTACTTGGATTGTGGTGTGTGATGAAGTGTAACAGGAGTACTTGGATTGTGGTGTGTGGTGAAGTGTAACAGTACTTGGATTGTGGTGTGTGATGAAGTCTAACAGGAGTACTTAGATTGTGGTGTGTGATGAAGTGTAACAGTACTTGGATTGTGGTGTGTGATGAAGTGTAACAGGAGTACTTGGATTGTGGTGTGTGGTGAAGTGTAACAGTGCACTTGGATTGTGGTGTGTGGTGAAGTGTACCAGAGGTACTTGGATTGTGGTGTGTGA